TTGGTTCTTATCATGGATCTTCTGTTGAGGTGTAAAGAGATAAAACCTGTAAGGAAAAGAGCTCTGCTCTTATATCAGTTCTACAGCCTCCACACATTTATGAAATTGAGAAAACCATTCTAACAACTAAAGCCTCTAGTAACACAGTGTAATGATCCTAGTAAATATAGAGCAGCAGAAGTGTGAAAAGTTTTAACATGAACCAGTGGCATGAGACCATTGGAGTTTGGTGTTTATGTGCACATTATGTGCAGTTCACACATTGCTCCAGCTGAAGATGAGCCTACAACGGCAAATGTTGAGCCAATTTGGCCACAAATTTGTTGCATATTCATAATAAGATTGTACATATAATATATTCCTACACACACATTTGTAAACAATAATAACCCTAGAAAAACATGGACTAAACTAGTAAACTATATAATGATGACTATGTACAGTGGGGCAAAAAAGTCAGCCACCAATTGTGCAAGTTCTCCCACTTAAAAAGATGGAGGCCTGTAATATTTTTTTTTTTTAAGTCTTCACGAGGTTTTCACACTGTTGCTGGTATTTTGGCCCATTTCTCCATGCAGATCTCCTCTAGAACAGTGATGCAATGTTGTTTTTGGTGTCCTCTGACAGCTCTTTGGGCCCTATCTCAATACCCACACTGCACCCTACACTCCTCTACGAAGTGTGTATTTGTTTGAAGTGCACGCAAGGGTTTGAGTTTGCAGGTTACAAGCGTGCAAAAAAGGCAATTGTTAGCAAAGAACGTCCGTAATTCTTCATCAGTCATTTATGCTTCTATTTAAGTAACATAGCAAAACTTATTTACACACATACAGCATAAATATTGCAAAACTTACACTTAAATGCATTTTCCCGACATTTTGGTGTGTACCGCAAAGAATTATGGGCAATATCCTTTGCCAAAGTCCGCTTAGATGTAGACTACAGCGAAGTGTGGATCAGGGGCGAGAAGGGGGCGGGGCCAAAGACCTCCCTGGAGAATTGGGACACCTTACGCACTCGCACCCATCATCGGGAACGCGCAAATGAGGGGCGCGAGGGTTGAAGTGTGAGTATTGGGACGGGGCCTTGGTCTTGGCCATAGTGGAGTTTGGAGTGTGAGTGTTTGAGGTTGTGGACAGGTGTCTTTCAGACTGATAACGAGTTCAAACAGGTGTCATTAATACAGGTAACAGGTGGAGGACAGAGGAACCTCTTAAGCCTAGCTTACATCGACAGAGTAACTGGAGACAACTAGTTGCAAGGTGGCTTTTGGCAACTGAGAGTAGATGATGGGAGATGATCAGTTGCCGAAATCGGTCGATGTGAGCGCTCTTACAACTGGAGATAAACAGTCCATCTCCGGTTTCAGTCAGTTGCCCGTGTTCTACTTTTCGGCAACTAGTTGTCCTCAGATCCGGAGATATCACCCCATGTGCGCGCTCCTAATAGATCCATGGTGCGCTCCAAAAACATGTGTGTATTGCGTGTATTGCGCGCCCTCTACAGTTTATGCCAGAAAACACACTGTAGTTGAGGCCAGTTGCTGTCGATGTACGCGCTGTTATTCTCGAGACTGGCCTGATACTAGGAGTTGCCCGTTTTCGCCAGATTGTCGATGTGTGCGGGGCAGAAACTCATAGGCGACGGATATAATCCGTTGCCAGTCCTATGTACGCTAGGCATTAAAGAAGGAGTTGCAGGTCTGTTAGAGACACAAATCTTGCTTGTTTTTAGGTGACCAAATACTTATTTCAAATAAAATAAATTCTTAAAAAAGATCAGACAATATGATTTTCTGGATTGTTTTTCTCATTCTGTCTTTCATAGTTGAGGTTTACCTATGATGAAAATAACAGGCCTCCCTCATCTTTTTAAATGGGAGAACTTGCATAATTGGTGGCTGACTAAATACTTTAGTCCCACTGTATATATTTTGAAAAATTGACTGCATGCTCTATAGTTTATACCGCTGTACTAAGATGTTCTGCAATACAGAAAACTACTTGTTTTTCTACTTGTAAGAAAAATTGCACTTTGAATGTTTGCCAAAACTGCTCAGCTCTACTTTCCACCAATCCATCCCACCAGATTCCCCCATCTGATACAGAGTTTGCAAATATCGACCGCAGTGCAGATGAATAATCAAGATATCTTTCGCAGAATAATTAGATATGCAAGTTGGCCCAAAAACTGCAATTAAATATGCACGCACTCACCATAAGATGCACCTACGCTCGCTTTTCCTCTCCCCGTTTACACACACACACACACACACACACACACACACACACACACACACACACACAGCTATTTAGCACAGTCATAAAGTATGCAGAGAAGTGGACGGGCGCCAAAACAAGCTGCTGGGCTTTGAGGCCTCATTTCCATGTTGGAGCTCGCTTTAACTAGCAGACTGACTCATTGTTAATTATTAAATCTCACAGCGAGCCTCAGATACAAAGCCTGTGATATAAACAAGGGTAAGTCCTGTCTTCAAAATGAATCCAAGTTATTTAGAGGGAGAGAATGTTCGGCTGTGAAGAATGAGAGTTCCACGAGGAGATGTTTACGCATCATGTTGTAACTCATTCTTTCAAGGTTCTTGTGCTATACACACACTGCACAAAGCCATGCTGTTTATTTGTCATGCCCTGAAAGCCTTTCCTAACCTTCTCAATTATTCTACCCTGGTAAAAGTACTTCTCTTATTGTAGGCACTCAAGCAGAGTGGTCCAGAACTACCAAGGTAAAGTTAAAGGAGATGCAATACTGTGTGTACAAAGTAATATGGTTTATGTAAGATTCATAGATCATCTGTCTTCTATGTATCATTACACTATCACAAAAATAAACAAAACGTTGCATATTATAAGGTGAGTTGAACACAGGACAAAGCAGCATAACAATTATTTAGAGAAGAACATATCAAATCCATTTGTCACTGTGCAACCCTTAATCACAGCTGCAACACTATATACTTGTAATACGGTGGCTGAGTGGATAGCACTCTTGCTTCTCGGCAAAAGGATCCTGCGTTCGAATCCCAGTCGGAACAGAGTCTTTCTGTGTGGAGTTTGCATGTTCTCCCTGTGTCTGCGTAGGTTTCCTCGGGGTGCTCTGGTTTCCCCTACCACTAAAAACATGCACAATAGGTATGAATGTAATGAGTGAGTGAATGAATGGAGTAGATTGGGGCTTTGATGCACCAGTGTGTTCTGTGTCTCGCTTCTGTCATCACCGCGTGTGGAGATATCTGAACATTGTAAGGCGCTTTTGGTGACCTTGTTCTGTAAAAATCCGCTATATAAATAAAGATTACTTACTATTACCAATGGGTCAAAAAGAAGAAACATTCACTTATGTTCACAAGAAATAATCAGACTGATAAACTGTAAGTCCAGACCATCACCCCGGTCCTTAGACTCTCCTTCGGCAGGATAAACACCCAGTGCGAACACAAGAAGCCTCAGGGAAAACCTCAATGAAATTAGACCAGCTGTCGGTGTGTCCCAGACTGCATTTACTCGGTATAACAATCTTTCATAATGCATAGATCTCTATACATTTTCCCCTCATCATCCGACCTGAATATTGACCTGTTGTGAGACTGAGGCTGCCCCATTTATCTCCATCATAATTTGATTAAACAATTTATGAAATAATTCCATATTCAAAGAAACCTACTGTAAACGCCTTTCACTTTGAATTGAAACTCTGCATTGCTTTTCATTTCATTGATGTAGCCAAGCATATACATCTTTATATGCATTTTTCTTATTTTTAATCCATTTTTCCTCGTAGCTAGCATCTCACATCTCACATGCATACTCTGTCCTTAATTCCCTCCCTGCACTCTTGCTTTTTCCCGCTCCCTCTCCCTCTCTTGTCAGCTCAAAGCCAGACTCAGTGCACTCTCAGCTGTGGACATCCCCAGTGGAGGCTGCTGCTGCTTAGACAGGCCCTGTCACTGCACTGCTGGCCGAAGAGACACACATCAATACATTGGCCCTACTCATCTAAGCAGGCAACACAAGGGGGGCGGGGTGAGGCGGACGCACACACGGAAGGAGGGGGGAAAAACTTACAGCGGTGCGCGCCTGCCATCTCTCAGTCTGCGCCGCCTGATTTACAAGCCTATTGAATTTTAGACCAACATGAATCACAGCTCAATAGCGGCATTCCTCTCTGACGGAGTGACAGAGTGAACCAGACGCATCGCTCCTGCAGTATGTGCGCGAGAGAAGGCGGTGTGTATGTAAATCCAAAACACTACGGCTACAATAGGACCCCGTATTTTTTCTGCTAAACAGTTGAATAGAAAAGGTACGTAGGTGGCAAACGTGTTCTAGATATAGTGATAACGCTATCGAACCGTCTGTGTGAAGATACGGGCACCCATAAAAACACAATAGTCACAATATGAAAGGATTGGGGTGGAATAGTTTTGTCCATTTTTGCTTGCTTAGGATATTGATATATTACAGAACTTTATGTTAGATCTTTCAGAGCCAGCCGATGTATGTATCTTAATACCTATGACACTACACGTATCTAGATACAGGAAATATTTTTGAAGAAATGCTTTTGGCTCCGCCACGTTTGAACAAAAATACAACACCATATATGATCAATTGTTATTCAAGTAAAAATATATATCTAAAAGAATAATGAAGACAATCAGAAATAAAAAATAAACGCAATTATCTCAGAACAAAAGCAATAAAACAGTTTTGTCAGTGAGGAGGGTGGATGAGTTTGTGTGTGAAAGTCCTGATGGACAGAGCTGAAAACAACTTTAGGTGTTGCATTAATGAAAATCCTTCTCACTGTTTACACGTAACTGACTGTTATTTTTATAAGACAAGATTGGTATGCCGTCTGCTTGTTACTTTGACAACTCCAGGTCTATTTTTAATGAGGGAACAATGTTGACGATTTTGCATAATGTGTGTCCCTATTTATTCTGTACACATTTCTGTAGGCATTCTTCTGCACTCTACCTTCTTGGCGTTAGTGAGGTAGGATCTGGCGGCCTCCTCCAGCGCCCTCCCTTCCTCAGCCTCCTCTTCTGTTGCTGCTCTGGCCTCTCTCTGCAGGAGCTCCTTTGCCCTCTGCAGCTGGAGGTAACAGACCCATCCAGACAGATACCACACCTGAGCAGAGACACGGCAAAAGACAGGGTTTGAAAGGCGGACATTCAAACAGGACTAGACCACATTTTACAATTCTGGTTTCTTATCATACACATTATCATATATTAAAAAGGTATATAAGAGGATTTTCCCAAATATAACAAAATTACCGCCCTCGCCTCTTTTTGAACAAAACTCTCTGGTTTTATGACGAGCACATATCACCAGAATGATTGACAATTGGGAGGACCAATAGTCTTGATGACCCATCTGGAAATAGAAAATCCTCCTATATACCTTTAAGACTGAAATCAAGAACAAAATCCAGTGTTGAAGAAATCCATACACAAATTATTTCAAGGGATAAAAAAAAGTCTTGATGAGTTTGAGACTCTGACCTGCAGTGACAAGGCGGTATATAAATAAAGATTACTTACTACTACTTACAATTAGGGTTCAGAGTTTAGTTGATGTGAACTCTTGTTCACATGGGGCAGATTATCTTTTTTTTCTGACCATGTCCACCACAAATCCACAGCACAAATAACAATATAACTTTGTACATACAAGCTTTGAAAATTATAATTAATTTTTGGAGATGTGAAAGCACCTGAACAGCTTTACACCTCAGTGAGTTCACTCTGAAATAGATCTGTGATCTAATCCTCCAGTCCAGACTGAGGAATCAAATCACAGTCATTTGGACTAGAGCTAGGAATCTGGAATTTATACATAACCGTAACACATGTCATGAAGTGGAATATTGTGTTAGTCGCAACAACAGAACAAGGCTGTCTGTCTTATCTCAACTCTGACAAACACACAGTGGAATGCACACACGACTGAAGGAGACAGTAAAACGTTTCAGAGCCGTTCTGCTATAGCAAAACTAACCATAACCATAATAATTACAGTCTATCAACAAAACACTGTTTTTAGTATTAATAGTTCTGGAAAAGCAGACATCGATAAAGGACCACTCATCTTTTTGCTCCTTTTCATTCATCCATGCTTTATCCACCTATTGTAACTATTTGGGTGAACTTAAAATTGCAAGACTTGATTAAAATAAAAAACTGCATAATTGTTCACTGCTTCTGAAAACTCAGGGACTATTCAATGATGGAGATGCCCACCATGATTACAGACCCAGAGATAGCAAAAATCATGTTCCTGAATTTAGAGATACTTTTAAATTGTGTGCGTGGAGTTCCTCTTGGGAATGGATTAACAGAATAATTAAAAGTTATGAGGAGTTACAGTGGGGCAAAACAGTATTTTGTCAGCCACCAATTGGGCAAGATGAGGGAGGCCTGTCATTGTCATCATAGGTGTTCTTTGAGCGCTACACGGAGGAGGATTCTACTCCTTCGTCCAAAAGAAACAACACAAAGCTGTAGTTAGTTTCCATTTTCGCTGCTGCTGTTAAATGCAGAATGATGTTTGTGCATTCTTTCCCGTCTTTGCGGCGGCCTGAGGAGGATGTTGTTGTGAAAGTGATTATACTGGTGGGGGTCATGAGTATTGTGTTGTAAAGTTTCACTGCCCCCTACTGGCCGGGCGCTAGAACTACATCGTTTTCCATTGGCTTGTTGGCATTCAGCACTTCGTCTGCTTCTAAACGGGGCATTAGTGAGATGGGTTAGAGCCAAATAAGTTCATCCAACGCCTAAAGTATTTTTTTTGGGGGGGGGGGGGGGGTTTCTAATAATTTGTAATTAATGTATGGACACATTTGAAACAATAAATACATGGACAAAACGGACACAAAAAATTGAGAACCCAATAAAAGCAAGTAAAGCGTGTCTATTGCTTTAACTATACTGTGACAAGAGTGACAGATTTATAACACTCAAAAATTCCGTCAGCTGCGAATCCTGTGACAAATGTTTTCTACAGGAGCAACATGGGAGCAGCCCACACACGCATGCAGCCCATACATCACTCACATAATGACTGTCAGGAGTGTATACGCGGCACTCATTTACAAATCTGTCAAGGATGTCCTACACGGATGCAAAACAAACTCAGCCAACAACATTTTACTTTTGCCTAAGTGTTGATTACTTATTGAAAATGATCAACTAACCATTTAAAAACGTCCCCAAGCAAAGATTATGACATTAGCATTGCAAATTCTTTCTCGGCCACGTTGATAAAAAAGGGGAAAAATTATTTTATCGTGTTAGCTTTTGCATTTAATTTTCTCGAATATCTTGTCTTCATTTTATGTGTTCAGTACCTCCCGGCTGCGACACAGACGGGACATAAAAGTCTGAATGAATGCGGCGTTCCCGACTGAAGATTTGTGGTCTAAAGAAAGAGTGCTCATCTACTCTTTTATTTCTCCTATAGTACAATTACACTCACCTCGTTTATTATTAGATCTGTCAACCACAGAAACATCAGCAGAACACCACAAGTCATAACCGGCAATAAAAGTTGTTGTGATGAGACGTTCAACTCCGTTTTGTTTTCTTTTTCAGACTAATAAAAGTCACATTTTATTAGCAGAGCAGAGCAGCAGAGACACCAGATCTGCTGCCTCAAATAATCTAGTTGTCCCACTGAGGGAAATGGCCCACGATACCAGCTCTCACACCAAAGACTGCTACACTTTAAACTTTTAAAAACATGGTTAGCTGGTGGAGCTGCTGAAATAAGCCAGGGCAAGTTTAATTGTATGGCACAATTCAAACACAAGGTAACTGAAAGTGCACAAACAAAACAAGACAGAAACAATCACGCAAAGCATTGAAATTATGTTTTTAACCTGGATTTAAACATTGTCAGAAGAGGCCTGTTCCAGATTTTAGATATTGGGTATTGGATATTTAAGTTGTTAATTGTAATATTTTGACATTACAGAGTTAAACATGTATGTATATTTTATATTTTATGTTGTAATGTTGGGTGATTTTGCTGACATTTTAAACCTCAAATGCAGTTGGAAAAATGTAAAGTTGTGTTGACTAATATGTACTGTCCCTATTCAAATAAACTGATAAAATAAAACTAATAACTAACCAAGAAATAGATACAAATTATGCCATATGTAGCGCGAGCGGTGGGCAAACTATAAAGTGGTAAATTTAAAACCAACAACGCCACCCAGGTCTAGGACCTGGGAAATGTAATGAACTTAAATAGAGCACACAGGTAAGTTTTAAGGAGGAGGCAGAGACAGTCTCATTCAATGGTGCAAAAGTTTTATTTTGATTTCACAATCAAAAGCTGCGTCCTAGTCGATAAAAATCACACGCGCACGAGCAAACACACCACACGCACACCATCAAGTACCGTATGGGTGGGTTTCACACCTCTTTCTCTTTCACTGTGGTTGGAAGGAAAAACATTTGTAGCCTACAGTAACAGTCTGCAGCAAAGTATAAAATATTGAATGTTGTTTAACAGAGACATCAAACCGTTTATAGCAGTCATTGAGCTCAAATGTCTCTGTAGCAGGTATGTATCAGTTATTTGTGTAGCACAATTCATACACAAGGAAACTCAAAGTGCTGAGCAAAAGAAAGCATTAATATAAATAATCACAGTACATTAACAAAGATAAATATAAATTCCCTCAGTTGTAGCACAGCTAAAGTGAGACACACTGTAAACCCTAACTTGAATTGTACTTCAGATATCAAAGTTATTTTAAATAGATTTTTCCCAGTAAGTAAATATTACTCATTTATTGTTAGTTTATTTAAAGCTTGGCTATATCACTCAGGGGTTTCTTTGAATTCAACTGTTTCTGTTCAAGTAAGCCCCACTTTTGACATTTTGACGCGTAGACTGTTTAATGAGGCAGGTGTGACAATGGCAGGGTGGCCTGGTGGCTGAGTGGGTAGCACCATTGCCTCTCAACTACAGAGTTCTGAGTACGAATCCCGGTCGGAGCATAAGAAGAAATTTTAACTTTATTGTAATCACTTGAGTTACTTGGTAATATCAAGTAAAGGATGTACTCGAGTAATTCAAGTGAAGTTAATACGCAATTTATTTCCATGGTTTTTTCAAGTAAACTTTACTTGTCAGGGTTTACAGCACACTGTAAACCCTAACTTCAATCGTACTTCAGATATCAAAGTTATTTTAAATAGATTTTTCCCAGTAAGTAGATATTACTCATTTATTGTTAGTTTATTTAAAGCTTGCCTATGTCACTCAGGGTTTTCTTTGAATTGAACTCTCTCTGTTCAAGTAAGCCTCACTTTTGACATTTTGATGTGTAGAATCTTTAATGAGGCAGGTGTGACAATGGCAAAGTTAATACGCAATTTATTTCCAAGGTTTTTTCAAGTAAACTTTACTTGTTAGGGTTTACAGTGCAGGCCTCTTCTCTGACAAGGTTTAAAACCAGGTTAAAAACAGTTCTGTTTAGCTGTGCTACAACCGAGGTATTTTATATTTATCTTTTTTAATGTACTGTGATTATTTATTTTAATGCTTTCTTATTTTGCTCAGCACTTCGAGTCGTGTATGAATTGTGCTAGACAAATAAACTTGCCTTGCCATCGTACTTCCTGGTTCTGGTCAGGACTTGAGCTGCTGCATTTTGATTGTACTGCAGCTGTTGTTAGAGTAGTCTAACCTAGTGGTTCCCAAAGTCCTTGGGGGGGTCGCAAGATGATTTCTACACAAACAAAAAAAAAAGATTTTTTTTTTGAGCAAATATAAAGCCCTTAAATATTTATTTAGCATTTGATTTGATTACTTGTTAAATTGTGTTTGGAGACTATAATATATTTTAATAACGTTAGTAATTTTGTCCCAGTCATTGCAGCGTCAATCAAAATCATCACGTAACACAGCTCACATCATGCGCAGCGACAAAGCGTGTCCTGCTGTTGTTTGCTAAAACTAAAGGTGTTTGGAGGCTACAAATAAATAATACCTGCTTTAAAATGAAACGTGGTTAATATCCACAACAGAAAATTGCGGGTTAGCAGGGCATTTATGATGGGGGTCGCGGGCTAAAAACTTTGGGAACCCCTGGTCTAACCTACTGGAGACAA